GGAAAATTTTTGAGGGGATTTTTCAAACGCCCCCTTTTTTGGCCCCGGGGGTTTTTTTTTTTGGGGGTAATTGAAAATTGGCCCGGGGGGTGGGGTTTTTTTTTTTTTTTATTACGGTAGACGGGGGGTGGGGGGGCGGCAGGGGCTTAAATTGCCTTTTTTTTTTTTTTCAAAAAAAAAGGTTTTTAAAACCCTTTCATTTTTCCCTTGATTGGCCCACCATTGGGGGACGGGCTCCGGGGGGCATTTACAGCATTTCAAATTTTTTCCACCCTTAAGCCTGGGGGGGCCTTTTTGGGGGGGTTCAATTTTCCCCTTCGGTTTTTTTTTTTTCGGGCCCTCCCTTTTTTTGGGCCAATTTTACAAAGGGGGCGGATCCCCGGGTTACATTTTTTTGGCCCCGGGGATTTTGGGGGGCCAAAAACCCCGGGCATTTCCGGGGAACCCTTTTTGTTTTTTATTTACCCCAAGGGGGGGGGGGATGCCCCCCCCCCCCCCCCCCTTGACCAACTTTCAAACCTCTATTGCTCCGTCACAAGGGCGTTAGGAAAGAGCCCGGTACGTCGACGGAAAGCCCTGGACGAGATGTTCCAAACACCACCATTTTTGTTGTGGGCACACCATTTTTTGTTGTGGAGGAATCGAATCGAGCTTCGAAAATCGGTCTTGGAGAGGGTGCCATCTCTCCGCCTCTTTAGGCATGGCGACGTCAACTTTTGCCGTGGGCAGTGCAAACGCTAAAGGCACGCAAATGATGTGTGCCTCCGCCAATGGTGTAGCCGCCCGGGTCGACACCGTTCCCGTCGCGCTGTAAAAGTTTTTAGCATGTCACCGTAGGCATTACGGTCTTCTTTGCCTTCTCTGAGGATGAGAGGGAAGGGGCGGCTGCAAAAACGGGAATGCCCTCTCTCTGGTGGTGCGGTCGATTCATCGTCTCTTTCAATTCTATCGCCCTCTGATGCGAGGCATCATGCCCGCAGAAGCTTTGAGTTGGAACAACGTTGAATCCCCACGACACACTAGCTGTATTTTCGCATGATATGTACGTTCCACGTCCTCACCTTCCTTGCCACTCCCGAAGCGTAAATCGTTGGATTGGCGTTCAGCTTCTCCATGATCACGGGTACGGCTGCAGTCTTGGTCTCTCTCGGCGTGTTGACACCTACCCGGAACAAAAAAAAAAAATGCTTGTTAAAAACTGAAAAATGGATCTTCATGGAGCAGGCGATTTCACGGCCTCTGGTTGGCGGGCGACCCAAAGGAGAGAAAAACAAACGTTCAGTTCACGGGTCGCAAACACGAAAATTGTGCAGAGTCCGTGCTCGTAGTAACGGTGTGTCCCACTGACGGCTTGCAGTGACGTGTTTCAACAGAATAGCAGGCTGTTCGGTGCTGGGCGGACTACAGATAGCGCCCACACTCAGAGAACCTCTACTATTTGGCCGACGCTCGGGGGGGGTTCTTGGTTCCTCGCCTGGGCTACAAACGTGGCCGCTGCTGTACTGGTTGTAGCGCAAGGTTATTAGCCGGGTCCCACAAAACGGCGCCCAACTTCTTGTGTGTGACACAACGATGAGCATGAGGTTCTTAACTGCCAGGCCACACGCACGGATTTGATGCCTAGAGAATGGGCCCGCAGATTGAAGAAATATTTATTCGGAGGAACAGAGAAACAGAGGCACAGAGGCTCGCAAGTTGTTCCACACATTGAGCTAAGGCAGCTGCCCCACGTAAAGGAGGTCGTTATCATCAGCTGCCGCCCCGCCCCGCCCCACCACCGCCGCCGTATTCGGAAACCCCCACACTGCTGTACGTACGTAGCTCAGCAGGCTGAGGAGATACACCATCTGTGCGGGGGGGGGAAGTACAATATGTGACCCCATGGCCTGATGATCGTTCAACCATGGAGCATTCCTCGGATGTCGGTTGCCATACAGTTAGCGCGATCTCTTGAGAACCTCTAGTTTCGGCCGAGGCTGGGGTTCTTATTTCCAATAGGTCATGCGACGAACGGTCACTATTATATAGATTTTAGTGCAGGGCTTCTTAACCGAGCGCACGAAAAAAATGGTGCTCAAGCTGGGTAAATAATCAGGCCTTCGAGGCTCATTTTTTCTTGGAAGGGTCTGACTGAAGACAAGGGGGGTTTAGACGCTGGCTCTGTTCTCACACATGCTTCAATCCAATAAAAAGGAAGAAAACAATCTTCGGGTTATAGGGTTAGCTTTGGGTTTCTACTGTCATCAGTAGAGGACACGGTGAAGAGGCGTCTTGCGTGCTGGCACGTTCAGGTTCTCTAGATACTGGAGCTGAAATATCGAAGGTCGAAGCAGTCTCT